GAAGCTCAGGTAATTCTAAGGTATTCTACAGATAGTTTATAACTCAATAAATTCGTTGTGGTAAAAAAAAAAACTCTGAAGATTTTTACTAAAGTTCCTCGTGGTGAAAAGAGGAAATAATGATAAAGATAATAGATAAATAAGTACATTTACAAATCATACTTCAGGAAAATTAAATACATTGTGTTGTGTTTTTACTCCAGTTTTAGGCACGCAAGGTGTTAATATAACTAAGTCAGACCGACGAGCTAATTGTACATGTGACATTGAACTGCGACATGCTTTTCCTTCGCCTCGCATTCACAGTTCCGGGTCGTGAGTCTGGCGGGGTTGTGAACATTGGGTGCACTCGACTTAAGGTTTTGTTATATCTGTTTTTATTTTTTATGGTAGAAAAAAAAGCAACTGAGTTCGTTCACATTGTCGACAGAACACAATAACAACTTTTATTTCTTCTTCTTATTCTTCTCCTTCTTTGTGGCTTGTAAACACTATTCATCATCGACATTGTACCTTTCTATTCATTATATCGTCTGTGTTTATCAATTCTCTCTCTCTCTCTCTCTCTCTCTCTCTCTCTCTCTCTCTCTCTCTCTCTCTCACTTTATTTTACTTCCGACACTGGGTTGGTAATAAACCTCCACGTAGCCCAGATGGTGTGCTGCATGACCCGGGAGCCTTTCATTCACTCAGGCAGCGACCGACCCACTTCCTCAGCGTCACCCCTGGTCGAGCCTCATGATAAGGTGTGATTTTGTCAGGCTCGTCCATCGTCATACTCTAATTGGAAAGATATTACACATGGGTACTTTCGGTGTCTGTCTGTCTGTCTGTCTGTGTACGTTGGTTTTGGGAACGTGTTGTAGGTGTAAGTTTGTTATGGGTGTCATTTCGTTGTTGGTATGTGTGTGTGTGTGTGTTTTGCCATTGTGAGTGTATTTTAAAGATGACCTCATGTCATTTCAACATCACTACACTGCACGATAACCTAATCTCACTTCAAGTTAACCTTAAATCACACAATAACTCATTTCACTACAAAATAGGCCTCACATCACTTAAGATAACCCCACAGTACTTCAAGATAACCCAAATATCATGTCACATCTCATCACCTTCACCATCACACAGCTCTCACTACGAAATAGATAGGCCCGACTACAGCTGGGGATGGTTGGTTACTTGGTACCTGTAATTGAGCAGTTCCTGTCAAACCTGTTTCGAGTGATTTTCACCCGGCGGCTGAGGTCATACCACTTTCTTGCCTCGGGGGCGGGAGAAGGGAGAGATCACCTGCGCCCCAATACGTGAGAAAAAAGGTGTAAGATTCTCCTCAGGTTGTGATCATATGTACAACTGCTGCTAGTGTGTTTACGTTTGTTATCCTTGTTCTCTCTCCTTGTTCTATGTTGTTATCTCTCTCTCTCTCTCTCTCTCTCTCTCTCTCTCTCTCTCTCATACATCTGCATCATCATATCTCTTCGTCCTTTTCCTTCCTCCACCTTCTCCTATTTTGCTTCCTCATCCTCTTCTTTTCAATTTCCTCCCCTCCCTCCTTTTACTCTTCGTTTTCCTCTTCTTCCTTCCTCTCGTCTCCTTTTGTTTATTAGGCTGCTCTAAAACTGTTAAAAATAAGTAGACAGAAATACGCTCTTGAAAACAAACCCATTACTCAAAGGCAATGGCGTTCCTCAGGGTAATAGCCCAGTCTGTTTCTAACACTATACAATTTTACGCTGCTGCAAGGTACACACTCGCGTTACGGTCAAGAATCACGCTACTTTCATCTTGAACTCACACACACACACATACACACAAAACCAATTTCCGTGTACATTTTCTGGATCACCTGAAGGTTAACCACCCTAGTGCTAACATAACATAACATATCCTAATCTTCACTGGAAATAAGCAAGGGGTGTATAATCTTCAGGTGATCCCATGTTTTTTTTTTTATATATATTTTTTTCTTTCGTTCATTCCATTTACGCTCTACGTGACTACATTTTTGATGTGTTGTGCAGGCTGAAAGTTGTACACGAGATGAAGAGAACACTTGGTGAAAACGTTCAACTTTCTTTATTTTCCATTTATGATTTTATATTGGATCGCGTGAAGATTAAACACCCTAATACAACCTTGGGGAAGGGTTAGGTCAGGTTATAATAGGTTGGGTTTGTTAAGGTTAGATTAAATTGAGTTAGGTTAGGTTAGGTTAGGTTAGCTCTAGGTTAGGTTAGATGAGGATAGGTTACATAACGTTAGGATATATTGGTGTTAGGTAAGGTTAACATTAGAATAGGTTAGGTTAGGTTAACATTAGAATAGGTTAAGTTAACATTAGAATAGGTTAGGTTAGGTTAGTTTAGATAGGATTAGGTAATGTTAGGTTAGATTAAGTTAGGTTAGGTTAGGATTGGTTAACAATAGGATATTTCAATCACTATATGAAATAAACTGGTGCGTCAAACCTTCCCATCATCCTCTGTCATTATACCATCTATCTCTCCTTTCATCTGATATTTGAGACCTAAACTAACTTGAACCCTTTTAGGTACAGTCGGGGACAAAAGTTCGCTCCCCGATGTAAAACTAAGTCACGGGAATGAGTCTCTGAACTGACTTACCCTGACTGTTTCATCTCATTTGGGGTCGATACTGTTTCCTTTTGGGAGGAGCGAAATTTTGACCCTGATTATACACTCACTCCAAAAAATATCTATACTATGGATGATCGATTAATTTCAATATAAACACTGCGACTCCTGTTCTCTCTGTAGGGTTGTCAAAATCCTTCGTCCATTGTGTCATATTATCTCACACTAAATCGTACAGATACTTTTTTGGAGCGACTTTCCTCTCCGGACTTCACAACAGAAAACCCACCAGGTCGACCATCTGACTGACAAATGGTGAAGGAATATGAGGAAGTAAGTCATTATGGAGATGTGTTGAGATGAGAGTTATTACACATCACAGTTTAACCTTTTGTCAATAATGATGTGGAATGTTGATGGTGTTTACTGCTGTTTAGGTTTTTTTACTGTTGCTCGTTGTTGTTTACTTTTGTCTTGTAGTTTTTTGTTGTTTGTATTATTCATTGTTGTTTGCTGTTATTTCTGTTGTTTTTGTTGCTCAATGTGTTTGTTGTTGTTTACTATTGTTTATTTTGTTTACTGTTGTTTATGTTGTTTATCTTATACGCTGTTGTTTATATAGTTTATATTTACTGATGTTTATGTTCATTTGCTTTGTGTTCACTGTTGTTTATGTTCACTGTTTGTTATGTTCACTATTGTTTGTTTTGTTCACTGTTGTTTATGTTTTTCATCATTGTTTATATTACTCATGGTTGTTAATGTTCACAACTTTTAATGTTGTTTACAATAAAATATGCTGTCGATAATTGCTTATATTATTCACAATGGCTTATTTTGTTCACAATAATTGTTAATGTTCAAGGGGTTTTTTTTAACGGTTTGTTCATGTTGTTCACAGCTGTTCATGTTGTTTACAGTTCTTCATGTTGTTCACAGTAGTTCATGATGTTCACGGCTGTTCATGTTGTTCACGATTGTTCGTGTTGTTCACTATTGTTCATGGTGTTCACGGTCGTTCAAATTATTAACGGTTGTTTTTCATGATGTTCACGGTTGTTCATGTTGTTCACAGTTCTTCATGTTGTTCACGGTTGTTCGTGTTGTTCACGATTGTTCGTGTTGTTCACGATTGTCCTTGTTCTTCATGATTGTTCATATTGCTCACAGTTGTTCATATTGTTCACGGTTATTCAAGTTGTTCACAGTTTTTCTTGTTGTTTATGGTAGTTCATGATGTTCACGGTTGTTCAAGTTATTCACGGTTGTTCATATTATTCACGGTTGTTCATGTTGTTCACGATTGTTCATATTGCTCACAGCTGTTCATATTGATCACGATTGTTCATGCTGTTCACGCTCATAACATAACGAAGTGACTTGCACAGGTCACGTGACGCTCAATGGCAGCTAGGTCACGCGCTCACTGGAATAATTCTCTCTATTGTGACCTCTTTGTTCAGCTCCTTGTAAGCCGTGTGACAATTTTTTTCCGGGTTATAATAAACCATGTGTGTTCATCTGTCTGATATATGTCTGTGTGTCTGGTAGAGTCGTTTGTCCACTGTGTCTGTTGGATTTATCTGTCTGTTATGCCTGTCTGTTATGTCTGTCTGTTGTGTTCTGTCTGATAGATTAAGGTTTGTAGCTACTAAAAAATTATCCATTGCATTTAAACTCTCAAGAAGATTTATAATTGCATTTGATCCTTATTTTCCTCTATCTTATTTCTTATTATTATTCGTATTTTGGTTTCAAGCAGAAGTGTCATTTTTCTCTTCTTTATTAATATCTTGTTTTCATATTAATGCTGAGTTATTGTTTCATCCTATCGTGTTTTTTGTTGACATTACGTGATTCCTTTGACGATCGCTATGTGGTGTATCTGGTATAGAGTGTTATTTTATTTCTATTTGCTATTTTAATTCCTAATCTCATTTCAGTGTTTGTTTGTTTTTCATTCATATATTATTTATATTTTTACTACCGCGATAATTATTGAGTGTTTTTTTTTTTTAATTATATTGTTTTTAATTTATTTTTTTGGGTGGTTTATACATTATTGTTTTGTTTTGTATTATATGTCATGGTATTTATAATTATTAAGTATTCTTTATTTCATCTATACTGTAGTGATGACTTCATTACGTCTATGAGCATCGGATACCGTCCAACATCAACTCTTCTCTAGGTTATGAACTTGAACCCTTTATATACGCACCTCTGATCCTTTTGTTGCTAAGTCATGATTTTCCGGCATATCATTCCCGGCCAGTAACCGCAAAACTTCCTGGCTTTCCTTTTGTTTATATCCACCATCTGTGTGTGTGTGTGTGTAACTGCGCAGGTAATGTTGCGCCGATGGTGGTGATGTGGTGCAGGTTCAGACGCGGCTATGTGCTCAGTTGAGGTTGAGCCGCTGTGCGTTGAGGTCTCCGAGGCTACTACGATTCCTTCCCGCCTTGTCAGTTTCCAGATCAAACAGGTTAGGCTCACTGGTACTGTTATATTACTGTTTAGGGGATAAATTTCATATAACCCGTTTATTTGTGATTTTTAGGTGAAGTTTTTGTTTTTTTAATTCTTTATATATTCAGGTTATGTTTAGAAGGTTAGAGTTTTATTTTCATTATATATATATTATTTTCATGTTTGCCTACCGTTTTTATTTTAATGCCTTACTGATCTTCGGACATTCGGGGTCAAAAGTTCGCTCCCGTCCATAATGAGGAAGCAGCATCGACCCCAAATGAGATGAAGCAGTCAGGGTAAGTCAGTTCGGAGACTCATTCCTGTGACACAGTTTCACCACGGGGAGCGAACTTTTGTCCGCGTCTGTACATAGGTTTTTGTTATTGATGCTTAGTGATCATTTTGCCTTTATAAGTATTAATTTTTTAGCATTTTTTTCTCATTTTATTTTCGCGCATTGATTTTTAATTCCCATTTCATCAATTTATATATTGTGTTTTGAGGGGCAAAAAATTCGTGGAACTAAAATCAACTCTTAATCTGTCCGTCCACTCTTTCTTCCATCCGTCCGTCCTTCCGTCAGGAGGATGTCATAGGGCAAGGTCACGGACAAGCTTCACCCTCTAATCTCTCCTATGTTCTGGGAGTCATTGGCCAGTTTTCCTCATCCCATAGTTAACACTTTCTGGTTGTTGCTAAGGTCTAGTTTTCGTGATAACCTCCGGCAGGCTGTGGGACCCATACTCGCAGATGCCCTTTTAAAGTTTATATTTACTTTATTTGTATTTCAGGTGTCGTAGTATCGTCTTTTATTATTTTTTTATCATTTTATTATATTTTTATCATTATTTTTATTAATATTGTTATTATTATCATTATTATTATTAATAGTAGTAGTAGTAGTAATAGTATCATTTTTATTAACATTATTAACACTCCATTAAATTTTTTACTTTTTATTTTAACGCTTGTTAACCATATGAAGGCATTTTTATAGTTGCCCTCTTAGAGAATTTTTTTCCCTGTTTGCTTCGTGGTGCTGCCGGGCGTACGATTAACCCAGCCCTAACGGAGGTATAACCTGTTTTAGGTCATCCCCGGTTAATATAATGTAAGTGTGCTATGAAACTTACGGAAATGTTTCCACTCCTGACCTCATGTGTTTGTAGAACAAAAGCAAAACAGTGTACCGTTACCTGTCTTTAATGACCACGCCCACGGAAGTTTTTTGAGGAACTCGAATGACTAACTAACTACGTCTGTGTTCCCTCACCATCGCTCATAATGAAATAACGCATATCTTAGCCACATTGGCACAAAATGTAAACAAACGTTATGGATGAACCATTTTGGATATACAGTATAAAAAACATTGACTTTTTTGGAAGTCAAGATCACGGTCATCGAAAGTTCAAAAATGACATTTTTCGCGATAGCTCTGGAACGAAGCGTCATAGAAGAATGGGACTAGATTTCTAGCCAAAAAACACATCAGAGTTGACGATTTCTCTTCAACGTCATGTTTATCCAGAAAATTATGGAGAAACATGATTTTTCTACATATATGACATGGATGCCGAGAAACATGTTCACAAGTCCCATAATATAAATGTTCTAGAGGAATTAATTGCCGATGCCTCATGGGGTTACTCATAAAAATTTACCTTGATTGTTAAAAGTTCAAAGTCACAATTACAAAAAGAAAGAAATCGTCATAACCAAGAAACTGCTGAATACATTTTTTTCCCAAGTTTTCATGGAGAGGCACTGTAAGACCCTTCACCGGTTCATAAAATAAGAAGCACAGATTGAAATGACTTAAGAGTGTCGGGTTTTCCGTTCTACTGTAGTGGTTACAGACGTGTCTGGGGCGAGAGGTATACCATCTCTAATTGTCTTTATATACATTAATTTACAGCACTCTGTATTGATATTGTTGTATCTATAGGTTTAGGTGCTTCATCTGTCGCTGTTATTAACCAATGAATACAAATTAATATTTAGTATATTACACCAAACAACTTTAAGTCTTGATACCACTCAGGCCAGCATAGTGCGTCACAGAACTCACTACCATCCTAACAGAACCAGTTGTAGTCAAAAGAAAATCACTGACTTATTGGTTTTTAATTAATAAGTAAACTTTCATATGATTTTTATTTTTATTTATTTTTTTTTATGGAATACTGCAAGGAAGTATAAAGATCATACTAATTTTAGGAACTGTATTGGAATTAAAGAATATTCCCACACTAATATATTCCCACGCTCTCTTTCATATCCCCACGTTCTTTTATCATATTCCCACGCTCTTTATCATATTCCCACGCTCTCTATCATATTCCCACGCTCACTTTATCATATTCCCACGCTCTTTATCATATTCCCACGCTCTCTATCATATTCCCACGCTCACGTTATCATATTCCCACGCTCTTTATTATATTCCCACACTCTCTATCATAGTCCCACGCTCTTTTTCATATTTCTACGCTCTTTATCATATTCCAAAGCTCTTTTTCATATTTCCACGCTCTTTATCGTATCCCCATGCTCTTTATCATATCCCCACGCTCTTTATCATATTCCCACGCTCTTTAGCATATTCCCACGCTCTTTTTCATATTCCCTTGCTCCTTATCATATCCCCACGCTCTTTATCATATCCCCACGCTCTTTATCATATCCCCACGCTCTTTATCATATTCCCACACTCTATCATATTCCCACGCTCTTTAGCATATCCCCACACTCTTTATCATATTCCCACACTCTTTATCATATTCCCACGCTCTTTTTCACATTCCCACGCTCTGTATCATATTCCCACGCTGTTTTTCATATTCCCACGCTCATTTTCATATACCACGCTCTTTATCATATCCCTACGCTCTGTATCACATTCCCACGCTCTGTATCATATTCCCATGCTCTTTTTCATATTCCCACGCTCATTTTCATATACCCACGCTCTTTATCATATCCCCACGCTCTTTATCATATCCCTACGCTCTTTATCATATCCCTACGCTCTCTATCATATTACCACGCTCTTTTTCATATTCCCACGCTCTTTTTCATATTCCCACGCTCTTTATCATATCCCCACACTCACTTTATTATATCCCCGTGCTCTTTTTCATATTCCTACGCTCTTTATCATATTCCCAAGCTCTCTTTAATATTCCCACGCTCTTTATCATATCCCCACGCACTTTTTCATATTCCCACGGTCTTTAGCATATTCCCATGCTCTTTAGCATATTCCCACGCTCTTTAGCATATGTCCACGCTCTTTAGCATATTCCCACGCTCTTTATCATATCCCCACGCACTTTTTCATATTCCCATGCTCTTTAGCATATTCCCATGCTCTTTAGCATATTCCCATGCTCTTTAGCATATTCCCACGCTCTTTAGCATATTTCCACGCTCTTTAGCATATTTCCACGCTCTTTAGCATATTTCCACGCTCTTTAGCATATTTCCACGCTCTTTAGCATATTCCCACGCTCTTTATCATATCCCCACGTTCTTTTTTCATATTCTCACGGTCTTTATTATTACACCCTTGTCTCCCGAACGTAAACAATATCTCAGGTGCGTTAGAGATTTATACCCGAGAAATTATTTAATTCAAGCTGATTATTAAGCTTTGTAGATAGCATATAAATATATTATTTATACTAATACACTTTAAAGCTTGCCAAGACAGCATTGTGCTACCTCTCAACCCCTGATATGAACCCCTGATAGTAGATGGGTTAATTATGAACCCCTAACATGACCCCTCCTTACATTACACGAGTTAATAATGAACCCCTGACATGACCCCCTTCACACATTACCGTTGGAGGGACTTGGTGGAGTGGCAGGAAGGGGAGAGGTGAGGGGGTGAGAGAGTGTGGAGTGAGGAGAGATGAAGGAGGGAAGGGAGGATGTCTTAGCCCACGGTCATGGTCAACGCAGGTAACGGGTCATTGTCTCTCTCTCTCTCTGTACATGCAAAAGTAGTATTAAAAGCAACAGTAGCAATACTAGTAGTAGTAACACCCTTGCTAGTCATGACAGAAGTAGTAGTAGGAGTAGGAGGAAGAGGAGAAGGAGGCGGAGGAGGAGGTATTGACAAAGCGGACGTGTTGGTTGGGGTTTAAGGAACCTATTACACCACAGCTATTGGTACAGCTGTCTTAGGCTAAACGTTGACCTGAACCAACTGACGTGAAACTTCCAAAACTACGAAAGTATGCCACGAATTATCTTAAGCTCACCGCAGACACACAACACAAAACATTACCGCGTATTGAAATGAGAATAATGCCACAGTTACCACAACACACGCAAGCATACCACACAAATTCTAAGTCACTCACTAATCGCTTATACATGTGTCATCTGCAAACACACATGGTACACGCGCCACCACCAACCACAGGTACACGTTACAAACGCTCCTCAGAAATTAACCCTATTACGACCACTCAAAGACAACCATAAATTCATGCGATTATACGTCACAACCACAATGTCCTGGCTCTTTCCTTCTTCCCTCCACCACAACCACACTGCCCCACTTCCCTCCCTCCTCCCTCCACCACAACCACAATGCCCCACCACCCACCCTCTCTTCACCACATCACCATCCTCCCGCCCTCCCTCTCTTCACCACATCACCATCCTCCCGCCCTCCCTCTCTTCACCACATCACCATCCTCCCGCCCTCCCTCTCTTCACCACATCACCATCCTCCCGCCCCCTCTCTTCACCACATCACCATCCTCCCGCCCTCCCTCTCTTCACCACATCACCATCCTCCCGCCCTCCCTCTCTTCACCACATCACCATCCTCCCGCCCTCCCTCTCTTCACCACATCACCATCCTCCCGCCGTCAGTTGGTACCGTAACACTACAAGTCTGTTGAGTCACGACCTGCTAACTCTCCTCCTCCAAGCCTCACTGATCCTCTCCTGCTGTACGTGATGTATGTCTCTCTTGGCGCCGGAGTCCTGTGCGGAAGTCAATTTTAGTGTTACCTGGGGAGCTTTCAACCCCGTAAGTGTCATTTTTACATTCTTGTGGGGTTGTGGTTTTTTGGGGGTTGAGTTTTTGTAAGCTTCTAGATAATGTTATTGCAGATGTTGTACTGTGTGTGTGATGATTGATATGTTTACGCTTTCATAGGAGCCGTTCGTGACTGTTTAAATCCGGTTTCTGTTGTTGACAAGACTCTTTGAAGTGAAGTTGATGTTTTTTATCTTCTCATAATCAGTGTACATTGTGGGTTTTATTTCCATCTGTTATCGCCCATCCAGCCATCCTTCTCACTCTCGATAGTCGTGTGTAAACTTCCCCGTCTTCATCCTTGAGCCCCACGAAGTATAATATCATTCATACCTGTAGACACTTTGTTTTTGTTATGATGTATTTCGGGGTCTAGATATTCAGTAGTTAGTACGATGAATATTTCTCGTAAGTAAAGATGTAACAATGCATCGAAGTCGTTAATCAAGAGCACAAAACTGACAAAAAAATTGCGTCATAATTACCCTCAGATTTTAACCTAAATTAGAGGTAACAGTAACTTTTATAATATTTCTAAAGAATATGTTTATAAAATTTGTCAGGTGTTAAGGGATCGTATCAAGTTAAAGATAATTTTTTGGGTATGATTTTGATGTTCCCTGGTCATAGATTTTGTGCTTCACCTTAAATCAACCAGTTAGGTACTTTTTTTACCTCGTCAGTTAAGAGGAATTTTGACCGTGCAAACCGTTCAGAATCTGAACCCTGAGTGTGACTTGGCAAACAGTGTAGTGCTCGAGGCCTTTTTCTGAAGTTCACTTTTTTACTTACCTCATCCCCTTTGGTCCCTCGATACTGATAGTCACATATTTCTACTAAATGTTATCTAAGTGGTTCAACTGAGTCAGGTAAGGTAGGTCCTCCCCCGGCAGGCACAATGCACGCTATCCCGGTGACCTACTTTGAAGCTGACTGACCAGGTACTCTGTATCTGTCTTCTACCTACCGGGGAACCTCTCCTCCACTCCTTACGGTCATCTGTTTGCCCCAGATCCTTCTCGCAATCAGTTATACAACAAGAGGTATCCTTCATTAACTGCTCACCAATTAAATCACCCAGTAAGCCATACGAACAGGGAACAAGAACCTGCCCCTCTCGTCCATTTACCACCCAGTCAATTAATCTAGTCAATTAATCTTTAGTCAATTAATCTTGAGAGCCAATTTTTCCCATCAGTTTATCCTAGGTGATCCAGGTAGTCAGAGATAAAGTTAGTGGCAAACAAATATATATCCTAACCCCAGGCATCCACTTAACCCAGTTATTTACTCAGTTATATAACCAGTGGACAATTTAGCCAAACAACTGCAGATTTTTCTAGTCACCCTGTACTCCAGATAGTTAAGTTTGTTACCTATATAATTAGAGACCAATAAAAAGGTAATCATCCTCGCAGTTAGTTCCTCCACTCAAACAGTCTGTCACATAGGGTACATAGACAGGAACCAACAGTCAACTACCTCCTTCCTCATAAACTGCCCAGTCAAGGGATCGTTCAGTCACGTTCGTAGTCATTAGACAACACTGAGTTTGACTGATCAATACTGAGGTAGTCTGGGCGACAGTAGACAATATATCTGTCTCACCTGACGAAACAAATAATTTTAAATCGAAATGTTCTAACGTTTAGTTACGGCCAGGAGCGAGTATTACTGGTTATTAACGGCCAATAACGTCTGCTAACGACCACTAACGATTACTTACGACAATTATTAGCTACTAACGCCTTCTAATAGTTAACAACAGCTTCAAAAGTCTACTATCATTCCTTAACAGCTTTTCACAATCACTAACGGCTCCTTACCCCGCCAGCCGGACAAGTCTTGCCACAGATAAGTCGTCCAGCTGTCGTGTCTAACTCTTGTTATTGTTAAAGCCAAGCTAGAGACTGACAGATGGGTTAAACATGCAGACAGTAATAGTAATAATAAGAGAAAAAGATAAAACATAAAGACAAAAATAATGAAAGAAACTGAGGAAAACATTATTACAGAAATAAGGAACTTAAGTGAAAATCCCCTCAAGCAAGGTGTTAAAAGTTTCTCTCTGCACAACCTAACAGTCAAGACGAGTTCGTTCCGTCGCACCATCAACAGACCCGAGACCTGTAATTTGTGCCGGCAAAACCTCTATACTGTAGATTCCTGTTTGTGGTGTGCAGGCCATAGGGGAAATGCAAGGACGTATCGTTATGTCTCCGTTGCTGGACTTAAAGTGGAACACGGCAAGAAGTAGTTACGAACGCAGGAGGAGGTAAAGGGAGATAATGAAGAGGAGTAAAGACGAGAAAGGTAATAAACGTTCATACAATTAACTCAGTGGACATGACTTGTAGATTGACTGAGACTGAACCATGTGACCACTAGACTGACTACTTGACCTCTCTAATCACTAGACTGACTACCTGACCTCTATAATCACTAGACTGACTACCTGACCTCTGTAATCACTAGACTGACTACCTGACCTCTGTAATCACTAGACTGACTCCAGACTGACTATGTAAAACGAGGGTTGGGTGAGGAAGTGAACAGACACTGTGTACTAACTGACCCATAACTCATGAGGTGTCATATGTCACGCGGACAGATGACACTTGAAGGAGGAGACGTTGTGTCATACATGATCGGGGACGTGCACATATACATAGGTATATGCCTCTATACACACATGTAGACACGGACATGCAGATGTATACGCACACAGACGTACAAAGATTTGGTCACCTATCCACACACACACACATATACACACACACACACTCGCAAACGTTCACTATATGTAAGTGTGTGTGTGTGTGTGTGTGTGTGTGTGTGTGTGTGTGTGTGTGTGTGTGTGTGTGTCCCGTTACCCGCAGGCTCGTATTGACACTGTGGTTAACCATAAGTGTTACGTCCGCATTCCAAATTTCTCCGTTTGTCTCTATAATCATTTAAACTTTCTGAGGAACTATATCAGCTAGAAGACCAGATTATAGCCGGTGAATATAATACTAATAATAGAAGAAGAAGAAGAATTAAGACTGTTATTCTGCTTGGCGTTTTTTGTTTGTCCACCTTTTAAGTTAATGAACCTTCTACACCAGTGAATTTGGCCTTACCTGTCTTGTGGGGTGATTATAAAGTTGTAACAGTAATAAGGCGTTAATTTTCGAGGAGCTTAAAAGGACTTCATAATTATGTTCGCCAGTGTTGATTGGTATACGAGGGAGTGAGGTGAACCCAGTTGTCGCATCCCAAACTCTCCTACAGCATTAAAAGTTTTCTTACCAGGGAAAAAAAATATCATGGCAATAGAAAGCATACGAAAGGTAATTTGAATACAGGAATGTGATTATTTGATGACGTGAGTGAAAGTTAAGTACACCAGCGATAATTTGCTTAGGAAGGTTTGTTCGGTGAGTCAAGAGTGTGAACCTGAACGGAATCACAGCAGTCAGACATGATGGTGGTTGTCTTTGTATGCTGATCAGAAAGATGCTGAGTGTTGTTATGTTTAAAAGAATTGGTAGACGATCGTGATGTTGTAATGTCTAGAATTTGTTGAACTCCATTGCCGTTTGTGTGTGTGTGTGTGTGTGTGTGTGTGTGTGTGTGTGTGTGTGTGTGTGTGTGTGTGTGTGTGTGTGTGTGTGTGTGTGTGTGTGTGTGTGTGTGTTTCCATTTATGGCTCGTGACAACCTGATCATTTCGAGCACTGGTTGTCGAGGTGAGGTGCTGTAGTAAAAGGGGTAGTGATTGTGCCGAACCTTTTTTACATTATCAGGTAAAACTCCGAGTGATTTTGTTCTTAATTAATATGTTTAATGTCTCTATCTAGTTATAGTTGTAAAGTTATATGATTTATAATTTACCGGAAAAGACAGAAAATCGGAAATTATGTAAACTCGTGTAATGATTTATATTCTTCACTTGATTTTTTTTTCGTATTTTCTGTTATTATCGTTCTGTTATTCTCCTTTGGTAATGCTCTTTCTGTTATGGTTTTCCCTTTTTCTCTCTTTCATTTCTTATTCCTTTTCATCGCTCCTCTCCGTTCTCTCCCTCATAAATCTCAATTCATTCTCCACCAACAGGATGACAAGCGGCCCGCAAATACTGACGGCGGCTATGGCTGTGGTGGTATTGAGGCTTCCCATCACACAGGCTTTCAGTGCCTTCCAGAACCCTTCCAGTCGCTTCTTGGACACCCCAATCCTTTTCCAGGACAACGATCACCTCCAGGAACCTCTCGAAGACTCCGATTCGTTCTTGAGCTTGACTAAGATCTTCTCGCAGAATGATAGAGATGAAAACAATGAACCACAAGTAAACATAAACAATGGCGAGAAAGATTCAGTCACGAGCGCAGCTGCGACAACTTCGACTCCAAAAGCAACGTTTAACATCGATACATTTACCTTCAATGAGAATAATCAACGAAAGACAGGTGATATTTTCAGTTTGCTGGCAGATGTGGAGAATACAAAGCCCGCCCAAACCGACAGAGATAGTCAGACTGAACAACGGGTTACATCGTCGGGCGCTGATGAAGTCGGGCCAACAACCACGAATCTCCCGGAAGCCAGTGTTGCCAATATCCTGGGGAAGAATATACTCCTGGCCACTAAGGACATGGAGGATCTCTTGTCACTGGATCAGAGGATGAAGAAAACACTAGAGCCAAGAACACAACCAACAGATCCCTCCTCCTCGTCTCACCTTATAAATGAATCCATGACCACCAGTCACAACATATCTACAGTGGGTAGAGAGAAAAACTATTCTTTTTTCATCTCTTTCCCCTCCTCCTCCTCCTCCTCCTCCTCCTCCCCCACCTCTTCCTCCACCTTCTACTCATCTTCCACCTCATCTTCCTCCCCATCTTCCAATGCGCAACGAATCTCTCCCTCCAACAGTCGCCTTACTTCCTCCTTCACCTCCTCCCCCACCTCCTCCTCCTCTCCCACCACCAATAGGAAACAAATCTCCTCCTCCAATAATAGGCGTCAGTCCACCTCTCCCTCCAAAACGCGCCTAACCTCTTCTTCCAACAACCGCCGTACCTCCTCCAATATGCGCCGAGCCCCCTCCTCCTCCCCTATCACGCATCAGTCCTCCTCCTCCTTCTCTCCCTCCTCCAATACGAGCCGAACCACCTCCTCCTCCTTCTCTCCCTCCTCCAATACGAGCATTTCTTCCTTCTCCTCCTTCTCCCTCCTCCAATACTAGCCAAACCTCCTCCTCCTCCTTCTCCCTCCAATACGAGCCAAACCTCCTCCTCCTCCTCCTTCTCTCCTCCTCCAATGAGCCAAACCTCCTCCTCATCCTCCTCCTTCTCTCCCTCCTCCAATACGAGCCAAACCACCTCCTCCTCCTCCTTGACCTCCTCCTTCTCCTCTCTCCCTCCTCCAATACGAATCGAACCTCCTCTTTCCTTTCAAAAAGTCAATCGCCAACGTGACACGATCTTCCTCTTCTCCCACCTCCTCCTCCTCCAATACGCTTCAAACCTCCTCTTCCCCTAACAGGAATCAGTCCTCCTCCACCTCCTCCTCACCTAACAGGCGTCAGTCCTATACCACCTCCAATAAGCGCCGAACCTCCAACTCCTCCTCCTACTCCTCCTCCTCCTCCCTAAAAGGCGTCAGTCCACCTCCCCCAATACGCCGAACCTCCACCTCCTCCTCCCCCTAAAAGGCGTCAGTCCTCCCTACCACCTCCAATACGCGAACCTCCACCTCCTCCTCCCCCTAACAGACGTCCGTCCTCCTCTAATACGCGCCGAACCTCCTCCTCCCCTAACAGGCGTCCGTCCTCCTCCAATACGCGCCGAACCTCCTCCTCCCCTAACAGACGTCCGTCCTCCTCCAATACGCGCCGAACCTCCTCCTCCCCTAACAGGCGTCCGTCCTCCTCCAATACGCGCCGAACCTCCTCCTCCTCCCCTAACAAGCGTCAGGCCTCTTCTTCCCCATACGCTTTTCAAGACTCTTCCTCGAATTCTTTCCAAGATTCCAACTCAGGTGGAAGTCAAGGTTCCAACACGCAACAAAGTCAAAGCGCGTCCGGAAGCTCTTCGTCCGCTTCCTCTAGCTCTTCGTCCGCTTCCTCCAGCTCTTCCCCTTCCACATCAGTCCTCCAAGTTATCTCTTCTTCATCTGACGGTCCCCCTTCCAATTTCACCACCACCTCCGTTGGCTCCTCCGTTTTTCTATCCTACCCCCGACACTTTTCGCATCCTTTATCACCCTTCTCCTCCACCTTCAATGACCTTTCCTCCTCCTCTTCCGTAAACCTCTCTCCTTCTTCTTCCTCATCCGGTGGGCCTTTCCCCTCATCTTTCCCCGTTTCCGTTACCGAATCATCCAATAACACCAATGCCTCCCCATCTACCATTTTAAGCAACGCCTCCTCTTTTTTTAGTGGCCTCTTCTCCTCCCCCTCCTCCTCCTCCTCTTCCTCTCTGGTGGACCTCTTTCTGGACCCCGTCAATCTTGAGAAAATTAAGGACGCCGGGCTGACAGCTGAAAACGAAGAGGAGTTCCTAGACCATTTCTTGACAGTATTGACAGGGGAAGAGACGAGACAGGGAACAGCTCTCACCCTCGACCCCGTCACTATCATCTCTCTCCTCACCCTCGGTAAGTACTTCTGCAGGAGGTTAACCGTATCTGTGTTTCTTTAAGGCATGTTGCGTCATGATTGTTTAATTAAGGGAGGCTACTGTAGGCTTAAGGGAGTTTACTGTATGTTTAACGGAGTCTACTGTATTTATAAGCCTTAAACATACAGTAAACTCCCTTAAACATACAGTAGACTCCCTTAAACCTACTGTAAACTCCCTTAAACCTACTGTAAACTCCCTTAAACATACAGTAGCTTCCCTTAATTTTAGAGGAACCTACTGTATGATTAAGGGAGTTTACTGTGTGCTCAATGGTAGTTACTGTATACTAGGAGAGATTACTTTATGTATGTGCTCAAGCTGTAGGTGCAATACTTGTCATCATCATACCAGGTAAACTCTCCCAGTATTCTCGACAAGTGCTGCCAGGAAACAGTTTTACGTGTGCTGTATTTTTTTTTTTTTTTTTCGTGGGGAGATTAAAAAAATGCATAGAAATTAGCTAGGACAGTACCCAGGTGTTGTAAACGTCTTATCGAACAGGTGAAACAAACCTATTTAAGCTTCCTATCCTTACCTAACTTAACTCTGACCTATTCTAAGACAGTTAAGGTTTGGTTAGATTGGGTTTAATTGGTTCTCTTTTACCTATTTCAAAGGATAAGTTACGCGTTTATCACCAAAGCTCTAAAAAGACAGTTATGTGATAGTACTCATGTGATGCTTGCAAGAGAGAAAGTATCAAATAATGGTTTAAATTGCGCTAGATACTGTCTTCGATAATTACCACAAGTTCTCCTGTGTTTAAGTCTTGTGGATGAGAAGAGTAATTTTATCCTATAAACATTATGGGAAATTCATAAGTCGTTGAGGGAAAGCTCTCAATACTTGTGGTTTCTCTTAAGGGGAGGTGGTATAGATGTGATTTACCTCCAGTATCTTCCCCCTCTCTCTAACCCCTCACTTGAACTCCTCAGCGGCCTATATGGTCAGGGCGGTGTACCAGATCATGTCAGTGTCGAATAAGTCTTCGAGTGATACATCCAGGATGCTTCCCTTCCAACTGTCCGACCTCCCCGATGCCATGGTCCGCATACACGACTGGATTTCCTCTTCCGATTTCACCCACATTAGGTAAGTCTTATATCATATGCCATTGGGGTAGGGCGATCGAGTGGTTACAGTACTCAACTCCTGTCCTTCGGGTCGCTGGTTTGATCCTGGGGCACTCACAGTCCATCCAGCTGTAAATGGGTACCTAACTTTACATTTGGGGGAGTGAGAACGGTCGAGTGCACGTCCGGGCACTCTCCTTGTGTACCGAAGGCTTAGTATACAGTGTACTGTATCCACACTGTCCCTAACGGGCAGTCGTGTTGATGAGACCACTTTCATTAAACGTTACCTTCCTCAAGTAGGTCATATTAATGGTCACCTTCCTCAGGTAAGTCAGAAAAGGGTACTGCATTAATTTCCCATATAACTCACCTGTGTTGTCAAATGTCACTCCAGTTAACTTGGTCTTCTCACAGGCCGTGTACTGTACACATCTCTGGTCACTATTGTATTTTTCTTCCATTGAAATATAAACAAGAACATTCAAGAGGAGTCGTACACACACACACACACACACACACACACACACACACACACACACACACAGCAGATCACAAACATACATACACAATCACTCAAAGAATTCCCACTGTTATGGGAAATCACACCCATCCCCTCCTCTCAACCCTCGCCACTGACCCCTGATTCTGCCACAGGGAGGAACGCTCCATACACCACCCACTAAGTACGATCCTGACCATCCCGGGAAACCTGGCGGCGATCATCAAGCTGCAGCGTGAAGGTCATCAGCCCTGCGTCAGGCAGTTCGTCTGTGAGCAGATCAAGGAAAGAGCCTACCCGGAGGTCACTGTTAGTGATATATTCATGTGAGTAAATAAAAGGAAGATCATTAGTGATATTCAGTTTGTTATATAAATAAGATTGTAATATGAATGAATGGCTGTGAATGAAGGAAAGTGGATAAATGTGTTGATGTATGAACAGTCAGTGATGTACAGTGTATGTGAGGGCTGATGGAGATATGCCTCTCAAAGGACTTAAAAAATAATAATATGATTATAATTGTCTTTCTAATTCATACTCTTCGTCAAGACTCGCCAGTTTCTGATAAATTACAAGGTAAAGTCAGTAAAGTACAATCCATTGAACATCCTAAGTATATTGTATTGTTATTTTTAGGATAGTGTTTTATAATTATGTTTATAGGTCATATATTTGTGAAAGCCGAGGAGTGAGTGTAAGATAAATTACTTATTGTATTAGATAATGATCATATATCTTTTCTTTCTTATGCTTCTTATGACGCTACCATCCCCAGCTCTGTCCCCCTTCCTCTTATCCAACACATACCCAGCTTCCTCACACAGTACTTCAGAAATAAGTCTGAATCTTGACAAACTACCTAACACTACCTAACCCCCGCAGCGCTGGCCTCGGATACTACTTCGGGGAGGCTGACCTGGGCACCTTCATCGACGGCGCCGTCTCCGGAAGATATACCTGTGACTTCTTGCCTGAAGGTTGTTCTCAAAGGACCCTCCGTGACGCCCACTACCTAGAAAATCTCTACTCCCGCGCCTCCTTCAAGTTCTTCAACCTCCTGTCCGTTTTTGGAAATTACTTGTTGCCAAGAGTCTGAAAGATTCGTAGGGATTTTACCCTGTTAGTAGCTATTTAAAAACACATATAATTAAGCTGACTTAAGATATGATACACGATTAACTGCTAAAATGGCGTCAAAATTACACTTTGACTCTGCTTGGCTGGCTTTTGAACAGATTGCAGGTTAGCTGAAGGCTGATTGGTTGGCCGGTTAGTTGACTGAATAGTAGCTGGATGGTGGTTGGCTGGCCACCCCTCACGAGTATAGAGACAAAGGAATTTACTCCAGTTGGTTTGTGTCAGGATTCCTCCGTGTAAGTTCTGAGTGTACCAATAAATTAAGGAAATGTAAGAAATGATTCTAACAAGCGGTTAAGTTTCAGGTAATATTTCTGAGGAATAATTATGGCTTCTTGCTTAAATCTCGAGACGTTATTACTATTATTATTATCATTTTGTTGTTGTTACAGTTGTTTTATTACAGTTGTTATTGTTACAGTTGTTATTGTTACAGTTGTTATTACACTTGTTATTGTCTAAGTGACGTAAGACGCTATAGAAATACGTATATCAATCAAACGGTAATAAAAAAAAAATATATGATTCTGATATACAGTAATATTGTTCCAAATTTTGTTGTAAGTTTGTCCAATTGATGTGGTATGTTTCCTTGTGTGAAGCTGACCACGTGTTGATAATACCGAGCACGACAGCACCCCGGACCCGACCAAGGCGTGACTCTGGTAAACCTTAAAAAGAAAAGAAAAAACGAGAATTCTTTCATATTTTTTCTGAATAATAGTGAAGAAATATAAAGTATTTGAGTATTTAGTGTGGAATATAGTCAGCCTTAGAAATTTAGGCAGTTTGTATATATTAGAAAGAGTGACGTACTTAGATAGAAATATGTTTATAGTATAGTCTTTAATTTATTTATTATTTATGAATATTTGTAATAAAGGTTAAGAATAAGAGGCATCAAGTCGTTACGAAACTTTCACTAATTTAATTTGTTTCAATTGAGTACGAAGATATTGTACTCAGTGGCTTGTAATAGTACTCGGGATTTATGCCATCTTACTCAAAGAATTAAACATAACGTTAGCCTTTACTCACATAACACTATGGAAAACAATTATATAATATTTCTTCATTGTGAAATAGTGTTTAGTAATTCTATAAAAACTTCGACTCCGTGATAACTTGATGTCGTAACCTTAACATTTATCCTAATCTTATATTATTTATTGTCTAGATTTATATATTATACACAATGGAAAAATAAACTATGATAAACTGTTGTAATAGCATGGTTATTATGTTCTCCTATTGCTAGTATATGAAAGAGCTTTGTCATCAGTAACAATAGAAAAAGTTTTGTATTTTTAATTGGTGATGACTGGTGTAATTATTGCCCACGTATATCAGTTAAAGACCAAAGTTGAAGTGCAGTAATTCATTATAACATCAAAGGGTATAACAACCTAAATAAAACCAATGGTGTTACATCTTTTGTTATTTTTAATAGTTGTCTGTTTGTTCTGTACAGTACTTAAAGACCTTATTAGCCGCTCGAAACTATTGAGGCATCATAGTATCAACAATGGTAAGTGTTATTTGGGTATTAATAAAGGAAATTGGAATATTGAGTTATGTATAAGTTACACAGAAAAAATCTTTAAAAAACCCGAAAAGAAACAATTTCCTGAATTCGTGGCTCATTGCTTCATGTGCTTTTTGATAATAATAAATTTGTGGGTCATATACGCTAAGCATTGATATCAAACGGCAGACGACACCACGATGACTGTAGTGTCATCTTTATTTGTATACATTTCCTCGCTGCATTTTATGTTTACATATATAGTGTTGCCAGTTAATTGAAAATGGGCCAATTCGTGTCTACGTCCTAATTCATTTTTTTTACTCATAAGTTTCCCATATAACTACATTGTATACAAATACAAATACGGAGAAGTATTTTAATTTGTAAAGAATATTACTACAGTATAAGAGAATCCTGAGTTAAATAATTTGTTTGTGTTGAAAGGAACCTTCCTCCCAGTCGCTTCTCGAATAATGCTGAAAATCACAGCGCCAGTAGACATTGTCCAGTTGTGTTCTTCACGCGCGTTCGACCAACAACAACAATTAGCTCGGTATAGCCTCTTCCCGCAAGTCTAGGGATAATGGTACTATCGCGGCTCGCTGGGATAATACTAATAAACTGTGCTGATCAGAATTCTTCACAGGAGCTTGACTACAGGTAAGCTGTAACCGAGTTGATTATTTATCATTCAATTCAGCAAACAAAAACACGATCCAGTGAGATACAACCTTTTAATTTTTATTTTAAGCACCTTCTGTATTGTCTACTATAAAGATTTCGTTAAAGTGCAGTAAAGATATGTATATTTCTTAATTTTTTAATTTTGATTACAATAGTATACTGTACATACATACTGTAAGTCACGAGTGAAAGTCGTAATGTATGTACAGTCTCGTTCAAGATTCTTCGAACACTGCTCGAGATAGCTGGCAACTCAAGGCCGTTTGCTTACTATAGTACGGAGTAAAAATTATATAAAAGTGTTCGGTGATTGGTTACTTAGTTCCCCGATGCTTAATTACTGGTTGGGCTTTTACATTCATTCATAATTTTTACTACGTGTTATAGTAAACAAACAGCCTTCAGTTGCCAGCTGTCTCCAGCAGTGTTCGAAGAATCTTGAACGAGACTGTACATGCCTGGAAGCCTTAACTGCTGAAGTGAGTCTCCAAACTATTTGTCTACCCATAATGGATGTGTAGTATATCCTATAATGTTTCGTACAATTTCGAACTGGAGTGTAAGGGACTTGACTTTTGCTCATGACTAAATAAGTACTAACCAGTGAAAATTTACCTTAGAATGTATTGAAATGTATGACTCTGGTGTCAAAAGTTAATAATTCAGAACTCAAGCTATTTTACATAAAACGTACGTTATGATAAGAAGGTATAGTTATAAGTTAGGTTAGGTTTGGAGTCTTATCTCCAAAAGTAAACATCAAAATTTGATTTGGACACCGAAATAATGTCTACTTCTACACATTTGGTACGTAGCACACTTCTGTTATAAGGCCTCGACCCTACAGGTTAATAGTACACTACCGTGAATATCTAGTGCATGTCACCGGGATAAGAGATTCTAGGAGAAATTATTGAAAATGATGATTAGGGCCCAAGTATATTTCATATAACAAGCACAAAGATCAACAGTGACGATGTTTAGAAGATCAACCCCTGCAGTCAGCCTGATCACAAAGGAATGTGGCTTTAAACCTTTACAGTTATTTTTAAGTGGCACTGCAACTGATAACCAAACTGGAGCACAATATTCAAAGATGGGCAAGAGAAAAGAAGAAAACAGAAAGTATCAAGAGTAACATCAAGGAAGAACTCTTATCTTCCTTGATTAACACCTTGAAACATTTAACAGGTTTCGTTTGTTTATGTAAAACAGCGAACTCGCGGCAAACCAGCCACCGGCTATCTTTACCATTTACACATGTTGGTAACCCTACTCTGTAGGTCGGAACCTCGACTCATCGTAGTGCCCGAAGCACGTTCTTGAATACCATTTGGCGCCATGAGCTTCGAGTTCCCGATGGTCGGTATCACCGTAAGGCATGATGACTGAATACGGTCATATGGCCGATTCCGTCCCCAGTGTGAACTAGTCCTTACGCGCTGTGGCATACATACGGTTATGCGTTTTCAGAATTTTGGCTTCATTTGTTCGACTTCTTACTTCACTGAACGTGACTAGCATTATTTCAAATTTCCGAGACTCACAATTGTGGAACTCGAGGTTTTGAAAGATTCAGAAAACACTTAAAATCTCGAGCAAAAAAATTAACTCAATATATTTTTCCCCTTTTGTTTCACAGTTGAGTGACGGGACATGAATGATACACTATAATTTTACCTGCTTTATTTTAATACATTTATAATCACAATACAGTAGCGTTGGTCTACCAGGGTCGACTCTCAAATGTTCCTACAACTAATATTCTTCGTAACTAAAGCACAAACATACAAAAATTAGCATTGGAATGATTCTGCATGAACTAGATACGTTCATTTAGCACAGTTAGGCGGTAAATTAAGGTACCGTACGAAATGTTTTAAAAGATTCAGTAATTTGTTTCTTGTACTAAGGGGAAACGTATCCAGTTAAGTTAGTGTCGGTGAAATTTGCATGCAATTTTTATGTTACTCTGTGTTTTAGCTAAAGTCAACAAGTTAGGTGCAGTCAGCCAAAGATGCACCGACCCCACCCTAGGTCTCGTGCTCGCAATTTTGCCTGGCAATACTTTGTAAAGGAAGGCTGTATGTAAAGGTGATTGTTTTGAGCTGCATCACTGTCAGGAGAAATATTAAACAAACCATAGGGAACATTTTTATAATAATAAACTATTCATTGTTATTTAAGGTCATGAGACGTTTCCAAATGTTCGTATATTTGTTTAAATAATGAAGAAAATTTGATGTGAGAATCTTGTGGCAGCTGTGGTTGTAGTTGAGTTGCCAATTCATTAATATAATTTTCTTCATTATTTAAGCAAATATACGAACATTTGGAAACGTCTCATGATCTTAAATAACAATGAATAGTTTATTATTATAAAAATGTTCCCTATGGTTTGTTTAATATTTCTCCTGACAGTGATGCAGCTCAAAACAATCACCTTTACATACAGCCTTCCTTTACAAAGTATTGCCAGGCAAAATTGCGAGCACGAGACCTAGGGTGGGGTCGGTGCATCTTTGGCTGACTGCACCTTTTTACATCTCCGGTTACGAAGAATGTTTGTTATACAAACCTATGAGAATCTGACCACAGGTTTTCATTCTTCGCTCCCCGGCACCATTAGTGTTAATGGTACTATAGTGTGCATCATTTATTAACATATACATACTGATAAACATTAGTACTGTCATGTATTTCAGACTTTTACTGTTTTTTCAGTATCAAAAGGCAAAAATCATTTTTTCCCCAAGTTGAAAAATATGGTGTTTTTAGAAGACCTGACGAAATGTGGCTCATCTGCTTCAGTTGTTTCTCGTTTTCATTTAATACGTAAACTGTTATGAAGTATAGGAACCATCTTACAAACCTATTGGACTAAATACACTATATATGAAGTAGGACATCTCTAGCATTATGTTAAAATACGACGGAAATAAATAATACTTTTGAATCAAGAAAATAGGCATTACGATCTTATACATTTTATAAATATTTTACAGAAAGTCAGAGGTTGAAATACGGAAATATTCCATGTTTATAAGTTCTCATTCAGAAATCTATCATATACTGTATTTTATTTTTCAGTCAGTAAATACTGTACTTATAAAACTGTTGTATAGAGATTGAGATGGGTCTATTTTCAGTATTTAGCATGTTAAATAATTTATCAGGATCTAGGTATTATTTATCAGAAATTTGTTTTATATCGTATAGTAAATAGGTGAAGGTATAATTAGAATACCTTAGGATTCACTAGATTTACCTTAATTAGAATTTAAAAAACACAGTAAAATGAAGTACAGTTTCATCACCGATCGATGAGTTGAATATTACAACATTGTTATAAACAAAACCGGGTTCGATTTTCATCTTTGCTCGAGAACCGGGTCGTGTATATGTTGAGCTTATACAATCTAAATGGCCTTCACAAACACGAGGCCAAATCGGTATTATTTTACCATTTACGTTAGCTACGGAGTCTTCATTCAGAATATTCATAGCAATAGAGTATTAACCTAAACCTGACTTATCCAAGCTAACTCAGCATAAGTTAACGATCTCAGGCTGGGTTGCAGGAACAAAGTCCTTCATCTTAAGTAGTATTTAAACGATATTTTTGTGAATGTCAGTTTTTATGTTTTTCATTGATTTCCTAATAAATTAATATCCTTAGCAGGAAAGGTGTATGCTTGCTATGACCAGGCCGGCCTCGTGTTTACAGGGGCAACATATATAGTACACCGGCTTGAATATTCGGCTCTATAATAAAGATATATTGAAAGCTTGACGCGGGTATTTGACCCACTATGTTTTCATAAGTTCCGGCGCATTTTTTTTCCTCGGGGTTAACTTGGTGCCTTGCTAATGCAATATATTCTCTGCTATATAGTCTTATGCTGAGAAATATGTTCTCTTTCTTTAATATATTTGTTTTCTTCATTAAGATTAACATAAAGGAAAGTTACGTAGTTCTGTAGGTCCGTTAAAGTTTGGTGGCGGAAGTCCGAATTTTGAATTCCGGGCGTCCAATGATATTTCTCCTGTAACATAACATAACGTATTACCGAAACCAAATCAATCTAAAAAGTTACTGGAAAATAGAAATTCGAATTGTGTATTTCTGCCCAACAGACTACAGTATAAGGGATCTAGATAGTTACAAAATCTTTCCTTTTGTAAGTTTTGATGACAACTCAAGAAATAAAGACTAACTTCGGAAAGGTAAATCATATTATTAACCTAAACAACGAGCGAAACTAAAATACAGGACGGTGTAGAAAAATACCTCGAGTGTAGTTTATTCTTTAACATTCCAGTCTGAAAATACTGCATATTAGTACCGTAATTATTTAGATAAATGAGCGAATGTGTTTACGATGGGTACCCGGTAATGATCTAAGCATATAAATCGCCATTAAAACAGTTTTATTTGTCAAACCCGAGTGTATTGACAGCGAAGGTAAAAAGTGTTTTATGCTAGGTGGATATTCGCTCGTTTTTACTATCGTTGGCTTTAGTGAACTTTATCATAGTTTATCCCCCCAAAAAAGTGTAGATACATTTTTTACAGCTTGTGTTGTACTTTCATAGAAAATGGCAGTTTTCAGCTTTGTTGGAAGAGTAACTTAAGGTCTGTTAGCACTTAGGCATTTGCATTTGGGCATTAATGTGTTTTTCTTAGTAGTGGCTAGAGAGACTTTTAACCGATCGCGGATTGTTTGATATGTGTCGTCGTCTTGTCTCTTTCTAATTCTTTGAAGAAGAAAAAAATGCAGAATTAAGTGATGATGGGTTTAGAACCACGATTGTCATTTGTAACTTATAAATGTAGAACCATTCGATGTATCATTATCAAATTTTTTCGACACCAAAATACACTAGACTCAAATTTAAGAAGGGAACGGACCATTAAACATATGTGCTCAATTTTGCCATTGGTCAGTGGTCTGTTACTGCTGAAATAAGATATTTAATTTTCATATGCATCGCAGGTGCCTAAGCAATGGCGTAATGAGAAAAAGTATTTAATACATAAGATGGTTCTAGATCTGTAAATTGTAAGAATAAATATACTTGTAGTGAAACAAAATTTGGTTCTCAATTGGAAAATTACTCTTTAGCAAACCTTCAATCCTGACCTGAATATAATATAGAGGCTCATGCATTGCAGCAATTTCTTATATTTAATAACAACAACACATGGAAATATGAGATAAAATGCACAATCCTAAGAGACAACCCGAGCTTAAATATATGTCACGTTATAAATAACGTTACCCTTCAGGGCTTCAGAGGACACTGTCGCGTGTACCACCCCTGGTCCGTCAGTAGTATTAGGGAATGATCATGTGATTACCTGGCATTATAGTAGGAAAGTCATTGCCCAACTTCCAGCGCTCTACGCCAACGCTGCAAAATTCACGGCTGTACCCTGTAACCTTTGGCTCAAGGCAGTGTTGAGCATTGATTTTAACATTTATATGATTGAGCAGCTGACAGCCTCCGTCTCTCAGCAAGTTTTTAGGTTATTCTTAAAACGAAAGTCAATGTTTAATCATTAAAGTAATGCAACTATTTTCATGATTTTTTGCAACGATTTTCCAGCGTTTGAGACATATTACTGATTGATGTGTTAGGATAATGAGATTTAGGTCATTTTAAGACTGAACTTGTTTTTTATGATACTTCTAGTGCACGACCTGAACCTATCAATGTTTGCTACTGTATGCTACATATCTGTTGATGAAATAGGTTATAATACTCCATATGTGATTCCATGTCATTCAGCTTTTATTGATGCAATGCCGATCAGTGCTTTCTCGATTTTGTTTTTTTCTGTGATATTAAAAAATAATAATATTTATGCTTGCAACAACGCTGCTATTACAGGATAGAATATGTGTATGTGTGTGTGTGTGTGTGCTTCAAGTGTTCAAACATGTTTCTGATTAAACATCGTGAGGTCCATATTTTTTCTCTTCTGTAAATAGGAGAACGTAGCAAAATTGTGAGCAAGAGTAAAGATGTAGGAGAAGAAATATGAAAAATAAGATAAGTAAATACTATTGGAATTATATAGGCTACATAGTAAGCTCTTAACGTTTGTTGTAGATTTTACAAATTATTGCTTTAATTATTTGGGTAAATTTCTTAATTAATATATATATATATATATATATATATATATATATATATATATATATATATATATATATATATATATATATATATATATATATATAACCATTATTCTGGCAAGATAGTAATCAGCTAGTTGTCTGTATTCTTGAAGTGATCAATTTAATATTTTTGTAATAGATTTTGCACAGTGAACAGGAATTAACTAGTTGGTGTGTACTTTTCGAACAGATAACTTAACAACATACTTTAACTTAATAACTCATTCTGTATAGATATGGTAAATTCTAATTCTTGTTTTTTGGTCTAGTTTTCGAAGCAGTTTCTCCTCTAGAGCAAACAATTATATAACAACAGTCTGGGCTACGGTAACAGACACCAAGCGAAGCAGGACACAATGACAAACTCAGGCTCCGTCATAACCCTAGCTGGACCAGAGCAGCTAATAATCTGAGTACAGTACCTCGATGCTTAATTTTAACCGCTATATCAGTCAAGCAACTTAGATATCCTTCTAATTAGGTCTGCAGTACTATGTTTTATGATCAACATGGGTGTCCTATACTACCGCCTTAATTTCCGTGTAAATCAAAGAACTTCGTAATCTTTGAGATCTTGGTTCTCTTGATGGTTAAGTAACATAGGTGTCAAGTATTTAGCTCCTAGTCCTATGTTAATTGAACAGTATTGGCATCCCGTTTTTAGTTTGTTACATCCATGTTAAATTAACAAAGTGAAGTACTTTCGTTTCATGTTAAAGCTACCAAATTAATCGAGCAGCATGGGATCATGGTAGCAATCATGACAGTTGTAGATGCTGTGGGGTCCGCAGTAGCTGAAAGGATAGAAGCGGTAGTAGTCACGTAGTGTCATTTGGTGTGACTTTTTCTCCCGGTGGAGAGCGTGTTGGAGACGGTCCAGGTCTTGTTGCAGGTGTTGTTTATCCATGTCGTGGAGGGAATGGGCTCGTCGCATTTTCACATGACATTTCCTTTCGGTGTCAACCAAGTCCCGGCTAAGAGACACCTCACTCGACACACGCCGGCGGTGTTCCTCCTCGGCCTGTGATCGGGCATTCTCTAGTTCTTCCCTCAGGATCCGTGCCTGGCCAAGTGTAAGGGGGTTATTATTCGCAAAAAGAGTCTCTCCGCTTTCTGGAATATGGGCGTGAAAAAATGAAAGGGGGCGGAAGAAAGGAGGGTAAGGACAAAATGATAAGGGCGAAAAGAGGGCCAGAAGAACAGGAAGCAAGGCGGAGGGGGTACACGAGAAGAATAGGAACGAAGGGAAGGAGAGGTGACGAGGATAGGAATTTTAGTATAAGGGAAATAAGCGAGGCTTTATCCACCATAAAGTGTGAATACATGATACTTACAGTATACTTTAATTGAGTAGTATACTGTATATGGATGACAGAAATGCTTCTTAACATACAAACTGTAATAATTCTAGTACTGTGAACCATAGGCTGTAGAGGTTCTTATAATATACGGGGTATGTGGAATTTTCATTGGTACTCTACCAAACATCCATCACACAACCTGGAAAATAAATTTTATGCTCTCGCTTGTAGTCGATGCTCATCACTAGAATCTGACAACCCAATTACAGTTCACACACACACAAGTTACACATTATCATATTTTCACATCAGCATCGAAAGAATGAAGAACCCAGGGTAATATATAGTAAATATCAATAAGTGTACCAAATTCAATGTAGTTATTTTGCAGTTGTAAATGATCACTAACCTCCTCTTCTAATTTTTCACAGTTGGTCCTCAGTCGACGATTCTGGTCAACCAAGTCAGACGAGTGTTCTTTCAGCCTTAGTGTCGTGTCGTTGACCTGAAAGAGACGGATTAGTAGAGGGCGAGCCAGTTTAGATAACGTCAGGTAAGTGTACCGTGTTGTTATTATTTTGTTAAGTTACTGATTAGCCCCGTGCTGGAAGGGGGGGATTGAGGATATTGTAATTAGGCTCAGTGCCCATGTAGATATTTCTGTTCCATTAGTTAAATTGAAAGAAAACGAATATTATGAAAAAAATAGAGACTCACTGATGGTTGAAGGAGAACTGATAATGCTTTTACCAAGAGCAGAGAGAGTTAGCAGTATTCCAGTGACTTATCGTTAGAAATAAATGTTACAGAATTAAGTGATCCTATTGACCAGATAGTACGTGGTGACCTGACAGTATTAGTAAACCTTAGCACAGTACGAGGCTACTTACATCATCAAGAGAGGCCACGGTGCCCCTGTATCGTGCGGAGAGGTCAGAGTAGCGTCTCTCTAGTTCAGCTACGGTAGAGTGAAGAGTTGATAGCTCATCCCGAAGCTCCTGGGGAATGGAATGGAATATTAATCACATGAAAGGTTAAAATTTGGGGGCTATTTTGTAGTAACACTGCATAACAATTGTTTATCTGGAAGCAATGAAAAGAAATGTACTAGTTTTGAGTTTGTTTTTGTTAGATATACCGATATACAATTTGTGTACAGCATAGCAATTTATGACGGTAAACACGTACCAGCCATATCCAGTTTGACCAAATTTAGCCTAACCTGATTGTCCTGCGTTAGGGAGAGGGGAAGTAGGGGGAGTGTAGGGATAAGAGAATAGGGATGAAAGGTAACAGAGATGGAGAAGGCTGAGGGAAGAAAGGGGTAAGAGAGGGAGAGTTTCTACAAAATATAAAAAAGGTCAAAACTTTTAAAAAATTCACAAATTCCCCCAAATTAAAAAAAACGGTGACGTCATTTCCAACCCCTGTGACGCCATCAGTGGCTGTGAAGTCATCACCAATTGCTATGACGTCATCACCATTTGCTGTTACGTTATCGCCAGGTTACAGTCGGTCAGGTTAGGTAAAGAACAGTCTCAATTTATTCTTTGCATTCATTATTTAATGCCTTTTATGCTTGCTTTATATGTCTGCTTTATTTTCTTGCTTGACAGTGTGCACAACAGACATATATCAAGAGTAGATGGAAGCTTTTAGAGGGAGGCCGGCCCCTAACCCCCTGAATTTGTCATATTGTTATGGGATTAATTGCTTCGCTAACCGTTGATTCATTAACCAATAACTTTTCACAGTCCCCTATATGCGTCGCTTATCGAGGTAAATCTATTTTGGTTGATTTTTTCACCATGTGTATGCCGGAAAAAATAATTACGTTGGTCAGATTATTTTTTTCCATTCTTTATGGACTTGTGCGAGAGGTTTGTCTTGGCGTTGTTTTCCCATTTAGAAAAGGAGTATTGAAAATCGACTCGAGATTATGATATACGACTAACAATTTACATGTAACAGAAAAGAAAATAGGAAAGTAGTATTTTTTAATTTGTACGGAAACACGAGATTTTGATATTAGACGAATATGTTTTTATTTATTTATTTTTTTCATAAATGTATTTTTGTTTTCGAAATTGTCACACACTTATGATATTATTTAGCGTTATAGAATATATTAAAGTGCGTATATCAATCAATCGTCCTGTTTTCGTACAAGAATTTGAGCAGAGACGAAAAGTATGGGGCGGACCCAAGACATTGCCGGTATTTGTACGTCTGGCAAGGAGTACCTGTTTGAAGGGGCGTTGATCGCGTGTTGTACAGACGTCATATTATCCTGACATATACCAATTGTCGTGAATCGTCACCATTAGGGGAGATTATATGACGTGCTAGTCGCTTTGGTCGCTGTCTCCTGGAGATCTTGACGTCAATAACTTGTGTTCTGTTAGTCTAATGCCAAGGAGAAAAAAGAAATAGACAATTCGAAGACCTATTGACAAGATTAGGTTGGCAGAATGTTTGATTTGTTTATATATCTACCTATAGGAAGCTTCTTTACCTATGATGTTGTAAACTGTGTAACATGTAACCAAAGCTTGTATACGACGTATTCCAATGACCTGTTACGACGTTACCTAATCTTGTGTGACCCGAATTTATATATGGCGGCCTCTCCTTATCTGACCTCGTATGACCAACCTGTATGTGTCTCTGGTAGCGGGTGTTCTCCTCGAGGGTGGCCTGGTGTCTCGACCTCTCCAGCTCCAGCTCGCTGAGGGCCCAACACCCACACCGCCGTCCACACCCCATTCCCGCGGCCTCTTGACTGTGGGACATTTTATACAAAAGTTAGAATTCATGTTTGTGGATCTAATGTGATATATAAGCTGTACACTGGGTATGTATTTTCAATAAATGTTGAGTAATATCTCAAATGTTTAGAACTTTTAAAATTTTTGGAAATATTAAGTCGTATGTAAACTGAAATTGAAATTTAAAATCACACGAATAATAATAATGATAATAATAATAATAATAATAATAATAATAATAATAATAATAATAATAATAATAATAATAGTGATGATCAAGTATGCGTATTTGTGATATTGGCTAAAAGAATCATTGTTTACATTAGTTGGCACAATTATAAGAATTCAGAGGGTCACTGTTCAAAGGATCAGGCCCTTAATTATATACTAATTTTGTACTATATTGAATATACAATAATTGACCAATACTGTAACTATATAATGATAAATGTCATACTAATGTTAAGTTTACTAAGTTAGAATATTCTGTAAATGTCAATGAAATATTATGTATATTATTAAACATTTAAATTAAGTTAAAATTTAAATATCACAACTGAACTACACAAGGAGGAAATATTATTGGCTAATATAAAGAAAACACTGGCAACGAGATATGGTTTTCTGTGCGCTGTTTTTGTATTATTATTATTATTATTATTATTATTATTATTATTATTATTATTATTATTATTATTATTATTATTATTCTCTCCGCTTTTAATAAGATTCTTGTGAAAATACTTCGATTTCAAGTTACAGCCTATATCCCATATAGTTTTGTAACTGCCGCAACTTTCCGTGGACATTGGTCAGTGGAGCAAACAATTTAACACTAAAAATTGATAAAAAATAAAATAAAATTGTACGTTTTACGTATTTTAACCACATATTTTCCCTCTTCTTCAAAACCCTGCAAACAAAGGGACCGATGTTTCTATACAATTACCATATTATTTAAGGACAAAAAATTAAATTACGATCGCGTGTATGTAAATCCATTCAAACATCATCAATAAATAAGAAATTGTCATATGAACAAAAATATTTTAGTATCAGTTAAATGTAAGTAAAGGAATAAAGAGAAGTTAGATATTAGGTAAACATTTAAGTAACTACATCATTTACATATTAGATAAAACGCAAATTTTAAATATACATCAATTAGATATTAAGTGAATGTCGTTCTTATTACGTGAATGTCGACTGAATATCATGTAGAAGTAATTAATTAGCTCGTAACCCTCGAGTAACTGTCAGAGAAACTCACATAAAAGTCAGTCAGATGAAAACAACCAAATTAAGTACCAAACAAACATAGATGTATTACAATTAAATAAATATTACTAAATATCAGGGAACAAGAAATAACGTAAAATCGGAAAAATAAATATAATCATAATATCACTGAACTTGTTTATTTAATTACAAGAATAAAATAGAATTCAAACCACAATTATGTTAACTCCTTCATTCATCATAACAGTAAGTTAACTGTGTTCATTAATTGCAACAACCAGGTAGTTTATGCTCGTTAATGGTGCTACTTACGTAATTGGGATTATTTAATATCAGTATGGTAATTGCATGCGTTAATTGAGGTTGTAAGGCAGTTGAATTTATTAATAGTTGCTCTTGGCTAACTACTTGGTTAACTACATTGTATTTATTATATTACGGGAGCGGAGTGTTGGTAATTGTCCTTGGTGAGTACTATTATCCTTGTGATTTATGACAAGGTGAATATTTATATAAAAAAAAACACCACTAGTGAACTTAATTCATTCTGCTTGTTACGTCCACAATTCTCACTTTCTTTAAAAAAACTAAGTACATAATCACTAAAACCTTTGTGATTAATTGCCTCATTACTACATGAATTTATTTGATCATCATATAGGTATTAAGGAGTTTCTATGCGTTCTTAAGCTATTAAACTGATATTTCATCGATTGAAATGTGTGTAAAGTTTATTGCCCCAATAACTTATGGAAATCTTTGGTGCCTGCAAATTTTATTTACTTCTGGTTATTGTTACTACACCTTTTGGAACTCTAATATCTGCTGTCGCTCTTCTATCGATAACAGACGACACTCAGTTTATCATTCTAGATACATTTGACTGGCCTAAGCCATTCAAGTCAGCTTCAACATTTTGGAAATTACCGTTTACATAAAATTTGAGGGCCACTAAAGCTAGTGCGGGTAGGAGTGGCACGGGGTCTCGTCACTCGACCAATATCACGGTGCAGTTCATCACTGAACCACATATTTCCCTTCGAGCAAATCCATAATATCTGAGAAGACTGAGATGTTCATCACTCACATTTAAGGGGTCTAAAGAATCCCTAAACACACTCTCCCTACGGAGTGCTCGATCGTGAGCTAAGAAAACTCATAACTTGATCCTCCTCCTAGTTTGAGCTCACTACTGCGGTGGAGTACACCGTATGTTATGCTACGACTGGTCCAGACCCGTCGTAAAATAAGGATAAACTTGGTGGTGTTAACGATGACCGTGAACCTAACTAAACATCAATTCCCTATAAGTGACACTCCTCAATCACCGCTTTCCTTAACTCATAAATCCGGTTCCCATATATCCTCCACGTTCCCTTATATTTCCTCCACCTCGCTCCCCCCACACACCTTGATAAATCACGTACTTCCACTACAGAAGCCTTTATTGATTTTGGCTAGTGTTGGTAAGAAGTATGCGTAGTTCTCCTCGTTCGATTATATTATGAGGGCTCCCCACTGTTTCGTGTGTCCATGAGAGGCAATAATAAGACTGTTACCCCTTCGAGTAACGGACAACCATCACGTCATCAACAAAGCCCGTAAGCTTATATTCTTGGTGAATAACTAGACCTCTATCTGTTTTTATTGTTGATAACTAGAATATTTATTAATCTAGAAACATTTATAATATACTTCAATTGGAGCACAGTAATGCATTATATATAACTTTTTTTAAATATTCTTATTTTTTTTTAGTAAGTTTCGAACTATGATTAAAAAAAAACCAGACGTTATTAAACGCTTAATGACAGTAGAAGCACCTGAAGCCCCCAAAAATTATTTCGTGTTTTTTATAGTGAGAAATACCTGAAAATATATAAAAAATTTCAGTAGACAGTTATTTGCTAACTAGTTTGGTGTCGTACAAATTAATAACATCAGGTCCTCATAAACTCATGTGTCTATACTTTTCAAAAGTCTTTCGCTTGGTTTAATAACACGTTCATGGTTCTATTTTCACATTGTCGAAGGATAGCTGTCTTATACAATAGTGGGCACCACATTTGTTACATTACACTACATTAATGTCGTACAAGGGGAGGCACAATAGGCACTGTTAAGCATTGGTCCAGACAATTGTTACTGGTGTATTATGTCAGACAATGGCTATCACATCACGCATGCCTTCGATTTCAGAGGCATATTAACTGTTCTTATAGTGAAATTGACCTTTCTATGATATCGGTGCTACATAGGAATTATTCTATATGTACTTTCTTTTGTGTAAATCTTCACTTGTACTTACACATCCAATTATGTACCTAAATAGAAAGCCTATATACGATCATCTGAGAATCTACTTGAATTCGTAAACCTGTGTCCATGTAACCTTCTTGACTATGAGATGTTGGCTTATACACCCACAGTGACCAAACTATTGTTGTCATATATTATTGTACAGGTGTTTCTCCCACGATGTTTAACACACACACACACACACACACACACCATGACAAAGGTGATGACGACAACCAATCATTACCAAGAGGAATAATGACATAAATAGTTCCTGCACCCCAACTGATCAATACTAAATAGAGTTTGTCTGGAGGGCGACGACTACAGGGTCATCAGTCACGGTGTCACCTTTATTTACGTACAGTTCCTCCACTCGGTACACAGTGTTTTAGTGGGTTAAGTAATAAAAAAATATCTTAATAGCTAAAGCATTCAACATTAGATTAACTGTCAATCATATCCACTGAATTATATTTCTTTTGGTTCGTTACGCGTAAATTATTTTCACAGTGAAATAGTATCACAAATATCTTAAATTTTAAAATGTTGTGATGTGGAAACTAAGATATGGTGAACAATGGACGTTGATGGACATTAAAATAACAATCTAATACAAGATAATTACTCCTTTGTTTATCGTTAAAACATCAAGAGAAATACATCTTTATCATTTTTTTGGTTTTCTACTGTGTTTATTTTCTTTTGCCTTTGGTATTCTTACCCTTCGCCTTTTCTGTCTCTGGTTTCCTTCCCTTCCTTTATCCTTTTATCTGATCCCTCTTATCATTTTTTTTGACTCCCTTCCCTTCCAGCTGTCTCATCCACTTCCCCTACATCTCCTCCTCCTCCTCCCTTCATACTCCCCCTCCTCCCCTTCTCCTCCCCTCCCTCACCTCAACCAGACATTGATTCTCTTGGGGGCGTGTTGGGGAGGGAGCTGCCACGTGATTTTGAGGTTCGTTCGTTCATTTTTTTCTTCTCCTGAATGGGGACGTAAAAACGTAACCCTTTCCTAGCTACCCGAAGTAAATGTACAGAGTTGAAAAACAAAAAGGTTGTGAAATCGCCCCGTGACTATATTGTAAATTACGCGCTGTCTTGGCTTTAATTAAGGAAATTGAAAACAAAGACTAGAATCTGGGTTTAGTCCAACTTGGGTACACTTTGTTAGGTAAACTCGCCACTGACTACTGGTGACTAGTGTAAGGTTGGTATTTTTGGAAACGTATATTACTCCTTAGCAAACACTAAACTTGTTTTTAATCTGGGGTTTGTTTATATACACCTGAGTGGAGCGAATTATTCTGAGCCGTAAAATTTTATTTTGAAACCTTGCAAACATTAGACTCACGTTGCTCCAGAATAATATGTAGTACTAATGATTTTCCTTTGAAGAATCCAAGGTAAATTGTTCCGAGAAAGCTTCTATGCTTGGATATAAATACGTGCGTGAAAATTGCTTTTTACTGTAACC